TGTTCTGATTTCTTTGTAACCAGGTCAGATTATCTTGGTGATTCCAGACAACTGAGCCCAAACATACATACATAATGCCCCCAAAAAACAAAACTAACTCTAAAATCACTTTCAAGACTTTAAGTGAACTTACAATAAAGATAGTACATGGTGTGTTGTTTCTCAGCTCTCCCAGGCAGATTAATTAATAAGGCCATGTAATAAAGATAATCAAGATAAACATAGATTATTGTTTTAAAATTTCTCCACCTCATTTTGTTTACGCACAACATAATAAGATAGGCCTTAACCCCTTAAGGACGGAGCCAAATGTACACATTGTGAACAAAACAAAATGTAAACAAAACCTGGCATTTGCGCTACATGTCTGTCCAACCGTAATACACCTCTTTCATAGTAAATGCACCCACCCTTATTATATATCATTTTATTCAGGGGAAACAGGGCTTTCATTTAATATCAAATATTTAGCTATGAAACATAATTTAATATGAAAAAAATGGGAGAAAATACGTTTTTTTGGGATTTTTTTAGTTCTACATGACATTTTAACGGTCAATGTCATAATACTGTTTGCTTTTACTGCAATAAAATACACATTTATATTCAGTAAAGTCTCACGTGTAAGACAGTACCCCCTATGTACAGGTTTTATGGCGTTTTGGGAAGTTACAGGGTCAAATATAGCACGTTACATTTGAAATTGAAATTCGCCAGATTGGTTACGTTGCCTTTGAGACTGTATAGTAGCCCGGGAATGAAATTTACACCCATAATGGCATACCATTTGCAATAGTAGACAACCCAAGGTATTGCAAATGGGGTATGTTCAGTCTTTTTTAGTAGCCATTTGGTCACAAACACTGGCCAAAGTTAGCGTTAGTATTTGTTTGTTTGTGAAAAATGCAAAAAATGCCAATTTTGGCCAGTGTTTGTGACTAAGTGGCTACTAAAAAAGACTGGACATACCCGTTTGCAATACCTTGGGTTGTCTACTATTGCAAATGGTATGCCATCATAGGGGTAATTTTCATTCTTGGGCTACCATAGGGTCTCAAAGGCAACGTAACCAATCTGGCGAATTTTAATGTGAAAAAAATGAAACACAAGCCTTATATTTGACGCTGTAACTTTTGAAAACACCATAAAACCTGTACATGAGGGGTACTGTTGTACTCGGGAGACTTCGCTGAACACAAATATTTGTGTTTCAAAACAGTAAAAAGTATCACAGCAATAATATTGTCCGTGTAATGCTGTTTGTGCGTGAAAAATGCAAAAAACGTCACTTTTACTGGCGATATCATCGTTGTAATACATTTTACTGTTTTGAAACACTAATATTTGTGTTCAGCGAAGTCTCCCGAGTAGAACAGTACCCCCCATGTACAGGTTTTATGGTGTCTCGGAAAGTTATAGGGTTAAATATAGTGTTAGCAAATTAAATTCCCTTTACTTTCGGCATGGGTTGTCAGGCAGGTCCTGCTAATTGTAATTAATTAAGATACCTAATTATGTAAAAATATTACATAAATATATATGTAGAATTAATATATGTATATATATACGTATGTGTATATATATGTATATATCTATATAATTTTTTAAAATATTTTTATTTATATATAGGTATATATATAGTGATATATACGTATATATTTATGTATATAGATATATATATTATTTCGTTCTACGTGTATTTTGATATATATATATATATTAATTTCACAAAACAGTTAGAACGAAATAACACACATCTATATATTTTTTAATTATTTATTTTTAATTATTTTTTTAATTTTATTTTTTAACGTATTTACATTTTTATTTTTTTTATATTATATATAAATATATATATAACAATAATTATATATATATTTAATCAGTATCAGTCTACGTGTAATTTGATATTAATATATATATATAATTATATATATATTAATAGTAAAATACACCTAGACGGTGTATGTGTGTGTATGTATATGTGTATATATATACTTAGATCATATATATATAATATATATATATATGATCTAAGTATATATAATTATTTTTTTTTACACCATTAACTTATTTTTATTTTATTTTCAGCCAGCAGGGGGACCACCTGTCATTACAGGCAGCCCCCCTGCCGGCAATACAGAAGCCAGCTATCCCCGGCCATGTGATTGTGGGGTCCTCGCTAGGACCCCACTCACATGGCCGGGGGGCTTCGACGAGGACGGACGTGCCGCGGGGGGCTCCCTGGGAGTCCCCCCAACCGCGATCGCCGGCGTGGGACCGCCGGCGACCGGGTAAGTTAACAAAAACCGGAGGGCGTACAATTACGCCCGTCGGCGTTTAGAGCCGCCTATTAGAGGGCGTAATTGTACGTCCTCCGGTTTTAAGGGGTTAAAGGAAAACTATAGCATTAAGAACACAAACATGTATTCCTAACGCTGTTTTACTTCCTATTTAGATTCAGGGCCGTTCTAAATTATATTTAAAACAATATGTTTTAACTTATCTATTTCCCACTGCAAACTAAATCCCACTTGAAGTCTTTCTGAGGAGTGAGCGGATGTGGCTAAATGCTGCAGCATGCTTCCCAAAATTTTTTTTTGCAAAACTATAAAGTTTTGAACGTGCAGAAAAATACTAAATTTTAATGAGACCAAAACCAATCAAATGCCTTAAAGCAGTATTGGTGCCAGGAGTGTCCCTTTGAGGCCAAAATACCCAAACCCTCTGCCTGTGATACATTTACTGAACACAATGGGCTAACTTAATTATCACAGGCAGAAAATATACAGTTTTACCCAAAACACAGAAACACCCCAAAACAACAACATACCCCCATAAACTAAATTATACATCCCTGGATAGCCCTGATCTGGATGAACAACATATCCAAAAATCACCCAGATCAGAGAAGGGGTTAAAATATTTTATGGAAGTCAAATTTGACCGACTGCAAGCATGGCTTTCATGCCCAAAACAGTTCCACAGATTTAGGCTGTGAAGCCGGTCTATCTTCTCCTCTATCCTAGAGATAATTGGCTTAAGTGGGTGTGGTAGGCCAATTATCTCCAGGTACAGAAACTATTAAGTTTAAAAACTGTTACAAAAAGTACATAAAAATACATAACTTGTATCAATATGGCAGTTATACCGCACTCTGATTCCAAGCCACCCCCCTAATACCCTGGGGTCAAAGGGCATAGCAAACTATAGAGCACCCACTCACTTAAACTAGTCTAGATTATATGTACCACATAGCCTCAATAAGCAGCCACAAAGGGTTAAGCCTTGCGACGGCACAGAAACCCATACTCCGAAGTGCACTTAATCTTCACATAGATGACTCCATGACACCTAGCCATTGTTCCAATACCTAACCTAACGTACCCTGAGCCACTAAAAGGGACAGGTGGCTTACAAGCGCTAAACCTGTACAAGTGCCACTCCACCGTCTACGAGTTCCACCAAGACAACACTAGCCATGACCACCGTACTCACCACGTGTTTGGGCGACCAATTTGTTACGCCTAACCAGCCCATTCTAACAAAATATGTGCAAAGATTATTTCAGCCCTAACTACAGGATGCTCGGATCGATGTTATAACTCATGCATATGCTGTTGTGGCATACTCATAAATGTCTGTATCATTGATATTGCACTGAAAAATAAAGAATTACAAAAAAAAATAAAAAAATACATAACTCATATAATACAATGTTTAACCTATATGTCCAACATATCCCCAGATAGCTTGGATCTGAGCGCTTAATATGTCCGAAAAGCGTTCAGATCTCACTAATACAGTTGGATTGACCATGGGGTTAAACAATAGTAAGGGCTGATGAGAGATTAAGGAGGGACAAAGCAGCCAGTTTCAACTGGTCTGGCAGTGTCCCTGGGACAACGCCCTGCTGGAGAACAATGGGACAGGAAAAAGGGGGAGGGGAAGAGGCACATTCTCCCATGGAATCAAAGGGGCAGGAAAAGTGTTTCAAAATCTAATAAGCCCAAATAGCAGGCCTCTCCAAAACCCAGTGGTGAGGTCCCTTTCGCCAAAGTGTATCACTGGGTCCTCCAAACACCAGACTTTTTTAGGGAAGGCTGGGGTTGTGATGAGGCATCAGAAGAACAGGTGCGATAGGCCAAGCCTTGATCATACCGGGTAGTAAGGAAACTGAGTACCTGGTTTATAGGAGCACATCCACGGGATCCACGTGTCGTTCCAGGCACCAACTACACCATACGTTCCAGGCATGAGTATAGGACCATCTTGTTCCTGGGGCCCAAGCTCCTGCCAATAAGTGAAATGTTTAACATCGTCCCGGGTCCCCAGAGAGGAGCCACGCCAGGAGTCTGAGGTGGCCTTGCACCAGCAGCCGATGAGGGTTCCCATCGGGGTCTGATAATATACAAAGAAAAAGAAGAATGTAGCGCTTGTATGGTAAATCAATAAATTGTCGCTTTTTGGCAATTTCAGAGGAGTTTTTGTACTTGAATAACCAGCAGATAAATACCTAAAATGAAAATAATCAAATATAGTGCAGATGGTATATCACTGAATAATATTTAAAGTAAAAATTATTTCTAAACTCACAAACAAAGAGCTATAGACCCAGCTCTGGTTTGAATCGCTTTTGGATCCGTTTAGGCGATCCTCCCCTTTTGGTGTTGTAAATCTTGTCCTGAGGAGGGGATAAAAGCAGAAACGATTGTGCAGTACTACTTATGGGTTTCTTATTAAATAATAAAAATTCCCAAGTGGGTACTTACAAGCCCAGAGTCAAATAATATGACTCAATTCACACGTATTGTGCAGTTATGGGACTGCACTCCCATCCATAAAATGATGAATCCAGGGATCAGGATCAAAAAGTAAAAACTTAATTTATTGTAACAATGTATAAAACAAAAAGCAACAATGTGCCTAATACCAGAATGCGTTTCGCCACTACACTGTGGCTTTCTCAACTGGATCAATGAATATAATATCTCCTGGTCCCTAGATCGTGCTTAAATACTGTTTAAATTGGCGGGTGGCGGGTTTGTGCCTCTATGTCGCAACACGCTGCTACCACCCACAGGTAGAACGTGTGCGGTCCAAGCCTCCCTCTCACTTCGCTCTCAATCGGCAGGTTTACCTGCCTATACTTCCCTCAGTCACATATCTTTTCATATTGCATTCTTCCTAAAGAGTCCCAATACATAGTCCACTAGATGCAATACATCTCTTGCAAAGTTTCGATCTTCGATCTTCTCTTCCTCCATATGTGGTCTCATACATTGAATTAAAACGGTCCGTTTCAGGATTTTCCTTATAATGAAGGATACAGTCCGATTCCATTTAAATCATGTTTGTTCATTAATCTCCATAGTCCATAATATTCCATAAATGCATATAAAAACAAAAAAAAAGGAAAAGGGAAAAGGAAAAAAGGTTTTCTGCTTCATTTACATACTACTCCATACATCTCCAAATATACACAAAAGATCTTTCACTAATACAATAGCCCGTGTGTTTAATATCCCCTCACACTACTAAGTTAGGGGTTTAGTATAAGTCTAATATCTATAGCTAAACACAAATAAATTGTATATAAAATTTTATTTACAGCACCTACATAGGTCTCTACATAATTTATTATTACTTTTAATCCATTATTGTGCTTCATAGAATGATGGGAGAAAAAAAAAAGGCTAGAGATAGCTATAAAAAATGGCATAACTCGAAATCCGAGTTCAAACCATAGGGAATCAATGTATTTAGTTTATAGATCCACTCAATTTTGGACCTACCCAACTCCCTAATAAAATTGCCCCCTCTCCAATTTTTACCTAACTTCTTTATCCCCATAAATATTAGACCTTCCGGCTTCTGATTATGAAATTTCTTAAAGTGGTACGAAACACTATGTTGTTCGAATCCTGTTTGGATTTTATATATATGTTCTCTGATTCTTGTATGTAGAAGTCTAGTCGTCCTCCCCACATACCTGAGTCCACACGAACATATCAAAAGATAAACTACATTTTTAGTATAACAGGTCATAAATTGTTTAATGGGGATTGTAACGTCTTTATTTAAAGTTATATCCTTAACCACCCTTCTAATACATCCTGACCTCTTACATGCTGTACACTGACCGCATTCATAGAAGCCTTTCTCATTCTTAAATAAAGTCAATTAATGATTCCTTTCTTTAAAAGAGCTTCTCACTAATGCATTTTTATGGTTTCTTGCTCCTCTATATATCATTCATAATTGATAATTGCTTGTGTTGTAATTGCAGATAAATGGAATATCCTGTATATCTTACTCGTTCTTACTTTATAAGTTAATAACTCTTTTCTTTCTCTATCTCTTATCTCCAATCTGGAGTTTTCAAGTTTAGATGTATCATACACCTTAGTTAAAAAATCAGTCTTAATTCGTAGTGACTGGTCTTCATAGTTTGTCAAATCGCTACAATTCCTCCGAATTCTGAGAAATTGTCCCTTAGGGGCATTTTCCAACCACAGGGAATGATGACAACTAATTTTCTCAATAAAACTATTACAGTCAACCTTTTTAAAATGATTCTTTGTTTTGATTTTTCTTTCTTCAATAAAAATATCTAAATCTAAAAATGTAACTATTTCTTTACTGCACGTGCTAGTTAATTTAATACCCCAATCATTGTTGTTTAAAAATTCTAAAAACTCTGTTAGATTTCCTTCTTCACCCTTCCATATCAATATAATATCGTCGATATAACGGCCATAGAAGACCAAGCTCTCTCTGATAATAGTTCTGTGAAACCTGAAATCAATCTGGGGAGGTTGATAGACATTTCCATGACTGAAGGGAACCAAGGCTGTGCCGTCCAGAACGGTGTTATTAACACCAACGATGTTCGGGAGCGTTGCAGGTGTAGGAGAGTTCGTGCTATGAGTGAGAACGGGGGGAAAGCATATAAATCGGTTGCTCGGCCAGTGTTGTAGGAAGGCGTCCACAGCCATGGCGTCTGGGTCCGGTCTCCAGCTGAAGAATGAGGGAAGTTGAGCGTTCAGCTGGGAGGCAAAGAGGTTGATGTGCATCGGGCCCCAGAGTTGTTGGAGTTTCTGGAATATCGTTTGATTTAGTCGCCAGGCGCTGTTATCCTGTAAATGTCTGGAGTTCCAATCTGCTACGGTGTTGGAGAGTCCCGGAAGGTGCCAAAATTATTTCGCTAGGTCTGTGAGTATTGACGATCTCGTGCCACCCAAGTGGTTGATGTAGCAGACGGCCAAAATATTGTCCATACGAAGAAATATGGAACAATTGGTCCTGTGTCCGAGGAGGCTCCAGAGGGCAAATGACCCAACTAGGAGTTCCAGACTGTTGATGTGGAGTTCCTTTTCTTTTGAGGACCATTTTCAACCTGTTGAGGTGGGACCACAGCCCCATCTGAGTCTGCTTGCGTCAGATTCTATGATGAGATCCGGGGTGGTTCCGAAGATCGCTTTGCCATTCCATGCTTCCATGTGTTGAAGCCACCATGCTAGTTCCTCTTTTGCTGCGCAGTCTAGTGGCAAGGAATCTGAGTAAGATTGACCCAAACGTAGGTGGGTGGCTTTGAGTTGTTGCAGGGCTCTGTAGTGGAGAGGTAATGGGAAGATCGCTTGTATGGAAGCGGAGAGCAGGCCAATTATCCTGGCTAGTTCTCGTAAGGTCAGGACTGGTCGTGACAAAGTCCGTCGGATTTCTTTCTTGATGAGTTTTACCTTTGTGGTAGGAAGACTGAGCGTTCCGTGAATTGCATCTATATTGAAGCCCAGAAACTCTATTGATTAGGAAGGTTGCAGGATTGACTTGTCCCAGTTGATTAGGAAACCCAGGTTTTAGAGCAGGGTCAACGCCCAGGATAGATGTTGGTTGAGTAGATGGGTGTCGTGAGCCAAGTTCAGCATGTCGTCGAGGTATATGATCATACATACACCTCTGCTGCGGAGAAGGGCGACTACCGGTTTCAGCAATTTGGTGAAACACCACAGGGCTGAGGACAGGCCGAAAGGGAGGCATCGGAAACGCCACATCGTCTTTGCCCATTGGAATTGAAGTAAGTGGAGGCATTCCTCGGTATCGTGAGGTATGCAGTTATACCATCCAGTCTCCCAGTCTGAGGAGGTCCCTAAGGCAGTGTATCCCTTCCATCTTGAAATGATGGTATGTGACAAAGGCGTTGAGCGGTCGCAGGTTTATTACTGGTCTCAGGCCTCTGCCTTTCTTGGGCACTAAGAAGATATTGCTTAGGAAACCGGGGGCGGTAGCGGAGACTTTGTAGATCGCACCTTTCCTTTCTAGTGTGCGAATCTCGTCTGCTACCATATTTTTGTCTTGTGGGGAAAACACAAACCTCGGGGGGGCCATCCCCTACACTGTGGGGAAGGAAAGAAAAACGGGTTATAACCAACCCGGACGGCAGTGCAGGATAGGGGCTTGTCCCAGGGAAGGGACAAGTACCCTGCACTGAAGCTAAAAAACACAGAATATAGAGTATAGAGAACAAATACAAACAGAAAATTAACGAAATAATAAAGTATTATCAGGAAGAACACAGTAAATACTACAGTTTTCAGCATGAAAAAAAAATATGTGGTACTTAGCTGAGGCAGCAGCAAAGAAAGAGGAAGTGGATTAGGTCACATGAGGAGACATAGAACAAGGATTGATCCCATTGGTTAATATGTTTGGAATTTTATATGGTTAACCCTTAAGGGTGTTTTTTGTTTTTCTTATTATTGCTATATTAAAATATCAATATCCTTTCTTTGCTGCTGAGGAATAAAGAAATAGATAAAGCCTAATATGAGCCTCCGTGTCCTTTAATAAAATCAAATATGGCTTACTATTTTCAAGCCCATCTGCTTGTGTCAACACTAAGTGACAGACTAGTTTAAGAAAAAAAAATACCACATCCATATATAACACAGAAAGATTTAAACACACAGGGACAAGCAAATATAGAAAAAAATCACTAATGACAAAATCAACAAAATGCTTTGTAGAAATTGGCATTCCTATAATGGTTTAGAATCTGCATCTAATATGCTAGCTATCACTGTGGAATACATTACCATTTTAGATATCTTACATATTCAAAGTAGAAATGTATAAATGCTGAGCCAGGAAGCTGCAGATTTAAAAGTGTCTATTAAGGCAGTTTTCTGTGTTACAAATATTAAAGACATTAAAACTCATCTTCAAAAACGGTAGATATGCTATCTCCAGCTTTCCAGTTTCCACCGCGTTTGGTTGTAATGAGGAAGGATCATAAGGTTAGTAAACAAATCATTACAGTTGGTATTGTGAAACAGAGTCTCTAAACGTAATGTAATGTTTTCCCCAATGGTCATTAAGAGAATTCACTAACCATATCAAAACAGTTCTACATTCCATGTCGCACTATCTGGGTATAACAAGTATTAAAGTAAGGGACAGGCCAGGCTGCACAATGATACGTGCTACAAAATGTAATTTGCAATTATTATTATGCACTCAGTTCATTAAAAGGGATTGTAAAAGTTTAATAAATATGGATTTGATTGGATTGCACTATTTATTTTCCTTCTGGTCCAAACTGAATATAACTAGTTTCCTTAAGGACACATAACATGTGTGACATGTCATGATTCACTTTTATTCCAGAAGTTTGGTCCTTAAGGGGTTAAAACAATAGGGATTTGCAGCAGTGTGATGTTTATATTAAGTTAACATTGTGTTATTATTAACTCTTTAAAGGGAGAGTGTAGACACCATTACCACTTAAATCAGTTGAAGTGGTTATGGTGCCTACAGTGTTCCTTTAATTATAGAGTATGTCACATGATCGCTCTGAGAAACTGGACGTGATTAGCTTAACCCCTTCAGCCCGGAGGGCGTACTATTAAGCCCTATTTTAGGCGGCTCTAAACGCCGCCGGGCATAATAGTACGCCCTCCGGTTTTTGTTTACTTACCCGGTCGCCGGCAATCGCGGTTGGGGGGACTCCCAGGGAGCCCCCCGCGCGGCACATCTTCTCTCCTGCAGCCCCCCCCGGCCATGTGAGAGTGAGGTCTTTGCGAGAACATGGCCGGGTTAGCTGGCTACTGCATTGCCAGCAGGGGGGCTGCCAGTAATGACAGGTAGTCCCTCTGCTGGCTGGAAATAAAATCAAATAATATAGGTCTAGGTGTATTTTACTATTAATATATATATAATTTTATATATATA